CACCCCCTCCCTGCAGCTCTCCTCTCTCGTGGCTGAAGAGGGACATGGGCTGGACCCTCACCTCAGCAGCACCTCGATCTTCGTCCTCCCCAGGCACGTGGCTGTCAATGAAGTCAATCTGCTCAGGGTCCCCATCAGCTAGAGAGGCCAGGGGCGTGTCAGCAAGCAGATGGGCCCCCAGCCCTCGACCATGCCCCTGGCCCCGACCCCTGGCTCTCCTGCTCACCGACGCCGTCCTCCCTCCGTTCCCTGGGCCCCCGAGGCTCCCGGGCCAGCTCCGAGATCCGGAATGACAACTCCGAGAATTCATCTGTTGACTGAAAAGGCAGAGATGTAGAGACGGGAAACGCCTCTGCGAGGGTTCAGGGGTTAGGAGCTACCGTGTGAGACTAGCCCTTGCCAGGTACTTGGGAGAGAGAAGGAAAAGGACAGCTGCGCCCACCTTCTCTCACTCTTAAGGTGGAGGTCCAGGGAAAAGCTCCCTTAGAAAGGAAGGCCTTACCTCGTTTCCAGACCACCTTTTGCTGCCACTGTCAACACTGTGGAAGCCTGAGTCCAGTCCACCATCGTACCGACGTCCCGGGAATAAATCCTCAGGTGGGCTTGGGTCAGCCAGAGACATCTGTCAGTCTTAGACTAAACAGCAACCCCCTCCCCTGTCCTCCCACCAAAAACCATGGTGTCCCTGGTCCCAGGAAGGGGCATTACGTGCCCAGGGTTGGTTTCCTTCCCACCTGAGACTTACCAGGGACTGAAACTTGGGGGGCGAGATGGGGCCAGGTCCCCCAGTGCAGAGCCTCCCCGCCGCCCAGCCTCGGTTGACAAGTACTTGAAGATGTGAAGTTTCCCCTTCAGGCAGATCTGAGTGGGGGACAGAGGGGTCCTCCTAAGATTTTGTTTGTCTGCCGAAGGAGCTTATCCCCCCGACTCCTGCCCAATCTCATCCCTGCCCCCATGGTGCCCCCACCCCACCCCTCACCTGGGCAGGGGGGCTTTGCAGGGGGTTGCTGTCCAGCAGAATGACCTGTAGGTGCCTGAGGCGGCAGAAGGAGACTGGGATTCGGGAGACGCGGTTACAGGAGAAATCCAGGCGGACAAGAGGAAGGTCCCCCAGCTCTGGGGGTGGGCGAGGGAAGAGTCAGGAGCATGTCCAGGTCCAGGGAGGGGCACCGTGCTCACTTCCTCCGCCCTCTGCTCTGGCTGGCCAGCCACCCCTGCCCCTGCTCTCCTGGGTCCATCACAGCCCCTTCCCTGACCGGCTCAGAATGTCCCCCAGCAACAACCGCTTTGCTTCCCTTCCTGCTCAACTCTGGTCCTCCTTCCAAGCCACACATCCCTCACCAGGCCTACCTGGACTTCAGGGCCAGGCATCCTTCAAAGAGGGATGCTTCCCTCTCTGTCTCCTCACCTGCCCACTTCACACTTGAACTGATCCTTCGAGTGATCACCACCAGACAAAAACCAAACCACGATACCCCAAACCTTCAAAGACTCGGGGACAGAGCTGTGCCCTGCACAAAAGCACCCAGTCAAGAAGGGCTAAATACCATCTGCCCTTTACTAGCCAAGCTTACCCCCTGGGGGAGGCCTGCCGGCCCTGGAAGGGGCGCTTTATTCTAATTCTCAAGAGTGCACAGGCTGGACCCGTGAGGGCCCTGACACAGAATATACGGCATGGCTCCGGCACCTGGCACGGCCAAGGCCTTCGTGACCTGCTCAGCCCCTTTCCCACCTCATTCCCCACTCCGACCACATCAGACGACTCTCCGGTCCCTCAGCTTCTGGACTTTTCCGTATGCTGTTTGCTGAGCTGGGAGACCTCCCCATCTCTGTCTACATAGTTCTCAAGTGTCACCTTCTCTGGAAATCTTCCCATATTCCTCAAGTTGAAACTCACTGCCCCCCCCCGTGTCCCCAGAAAGAGTCCTGATCAAATGCTTATTTGTACCCCTACTGACTTGGAAAGAAAGAGAGCAGGTACAGAAAGTGAGGGTGGGGAAGCTCCAAAAAAAAATGGATGACCAACTGAGTCCCTGCTCTTTGTCCTGAAAACCAAGTCCACGCCCTCCAGAACAAGAGAAGGCCCCCCGCCCCAGCCCTGACTTGCCTCTAACCACACCCATGCTGGCCATGCTCCCTCCCAGCTCCTTGTTTGCCCATGTTGTTTCCCTGCTGATGCAGACGGATGGAGAATCTCCTTCAAAGGGCAGCCCCCCAAGCAGAACCGAGCTCGGGCTCCCAGGGTTCTTTTAAGCCTCACGCTCTAACACTACTTCCCTCAAAGTGTTCCAGGAACATTTCTCTCTCTCCACCAGTCAGCCATTTAAGAGTCAGCCTGGATCTTAGCGACATCTCCCACACCTACCTGGTCCCCATCTAAAACACAGGAAACACTAACCAAAGACCAAAAAAAAAAAAAAAAAAGCTGGCTGAATAAAAAAGGCTTGTCTGCTTTGAAGCAGAAGCTATCAAATGTTGGTGTGTGTTACAATCAGCTCATTAAAATGGGGTTGCTTGGGCCCTAGTGAGGCCCTGAGGATTCAGAATCTCTGGGGAGGAAGCCTGGGCATCCGACACTCCTGGGACCTGAGAGCGCCTGCTGGGGGAAGTGGTACCCCTGGAGGACCTCAAAGGTCCCTTCCAACCTTGAGATTCTAGTGCTGCAGACGCATGCACCGCCTCCTCTTTCTGGGCCCGTTTCCACTTAGTAAAATAGAGCTAATAATCCAAGAGCCCATCTCAGAGGATGGTTAGTCAAGATTAAACAATTTAGTTTTATGAATTACAAAACCCTGGGCAAACAAGACATGATTCTGCACTGAAGAGTCCTTGACTGTGACTCTTCCACGGCAGATACATGCACACACACATGCACACGCGTGCACACGCACACACCCTCCTGTTCGTCAATGCCCTCACCATCAGGTAGGATGCTGAGCTGATTCCTCCGGACATTGAGATCCCGCAGGGAAGGCAGGCTACACAGCTCTGGGGGGAGAGACTGCAACTCATTGCTGCTCACATCCTGAAATGAGGAAAAGAAAGTGAGAAAGAGATTAAGAGCGGGATCATCAGAACCTGCCCTCCCGTCTCTGGCCAGCTGCCTTCAAGCTTTTCCCCTACACCCATCCTCCCTTCCTCCTTCTCCCATGTCCCCGGTGCCTGGCTCCACAGTCCCCCTTCTCGGCCTTGTTCCCTGTCCTCACAAGCTGCCGCAGGCTTCCCAAGGCCCCAATGTCAGGAGGCAGAGCTCCCAGCTTGTTGTTGCTGACGACGAGCACCCGCAGCGGCAGCTGGCAGATGTAGGGTGGCAGCGACGACAGCTGGTTTCGGCTGTGAGAGGCAGAGAGGCAGGGGGCTTACCCTCCAGGCACAAGGTCCCAGGACTCCCCTCCTCTCAGGGTCAGAGAGAGGGTCACTGAGGGTACTATACATTGGGACTTGCAGTGAGAACAGGATCCCCACCCTCCCCTGACCCTGCCTCTTCTACCTGAGGTTGAGGTAGGTGAGGGCTGTGAGATTCCCCAAGGCTGGATTCAGGCATCTCAAGCAGTTATGGTAGAGGCTCAAGCCCTCGAGAGACACCAGCTGGCATGCTGCCTCAGGCACCTCGGGGAACCGGTTCCGGGACAAGTCTAGGAGAAGCAAGTGTCAAGAGAGCTATGGAAAGGCCCAGTTCTGAACAGCAGGATCTTGGATTTCCCCAAAGTCAGCTGTCCAGCCTCCTACCCTCAGCAGACATAAGGAATCAGGCCTATACACCTGGGTGTCCTGGGGAGATAACAAAGATTTCTGCAAACTGGAGCACATTCCAAGCATGATGATAAAGACACAGAGTCACTGGGCTGCAGCCCAGACCTGGGAGGAGGAGCCAAATATCTTCAAATGCATGAATGAAGGGCTGTCCTGGAAGGGAATGCTTATTATTCCTGCTGTTCTGAAACGACAGGAGAGGTGGAAGGCAAAAGGCAAGAGGCAAGAGAGGGCTGGTGCTCAAGAGAAAATAGCAGGGTGATGGTCTAGGAGGCTCCAGCTGAGAATACGGAGAACACCCAGGGGATGCCGCTGGGAGTGGCGCTCCCTCCCACTGCAACCTGTTTTCAACAAGGTGAACCATGAGGGGGAAACCAAGGGTCACTATACAGTGAATCTAGAGATTAAGGCAGGCCCCAACACCTGACAACAGTTTTTCGTCAGGCCCAAGGGACTGTGAAGTTACAGATTCCTAAGGACAGGGAGGAAAGAACCAATCAACCAAGCTGGGGGTGGGAGCCGGGAGTCCTCAGGCCCCTCCCATCTGGATACCCCTGGCCCAGGGGTGGACTCCTTCCCACCCTCTGGCAGGCCTCACCAGCCTTCTGCTACTTCCTCTCTTACTGTTCCAGACTTCAAGAGTGAGCTCCTTTGCCTGCATCTTGGGCATGGGTGAGGAGTGGAGAGGGTAGAGGAGGGGAGAACTCATCATTACCCCTTTATCTCAAGAGATAGCCTGCTACTTCAATATAAAGAGTCAGGCATTGGGGTTCCTTCCAGTCTGGAGATTCTAGATGCTTAGCCATCAGAAGTTGGGGTTTCTCCTTCCTCTGCTTAGCCTATGATGGGAGGAGCCTAGGCTCTGCTGGGGGAAGTCCCAAGCAACAGAACTTGGGTGAGCTTCTTAGCCCAGGGAGGGGTGAGCAAAAGTTGGAGAGAGCTGGGGTATATCCTCCAAGGAAATGAGTCTTGTGACAGGAAATGAAGTAGAAACAATCTGTCAGGTTCTGTCTCTGGGGGCCCCTGTGTTTACCAGGGAGGATGATAGCCTGCTGTCCCAGGAATCATCTCTCTCCCTTTCTGCCCCAGCCCTGGAGCACACAGACAGAAGGCCTGTCACGGGAGAAGGCAGTTCCGGAGACGGTAGGAGGACCACATCTGGTCCTCCCACCCTCATCCTCCACCTGCCTGCCTCTCCGTGTCCACAAATGTGTTTGTGTGCGTGCGTATGTGCATGTGGATGAAGGGGGTGGGGGAAAAATGTTATGATGGGTAAGTGGGTGGCAGGGGGCAAAAGCCAGGAGAGGAAGGGAGCCCAGGCTGGAGGAGGCAGGGCACCAGAGGCACAGGATGTGGTCTAAAGAGAATGAACTATACTTCTCCTTTGCTGGAGCGGCCCCTCCCCCCACCTCAGGATTCTTCCAACTACTGGGCCCCAGAGGACAGAGTCCATGGGACATCAGCAACCTGAGCCACAGAAGACATGCCAGGGAAGGCACTGGTTCCAGAAGAGCTGGGGAAGCAGGAGCAGAGAGTTCAAAATGATTCCAGAAGCAGAGCATTGAAGTTTTTAGTCTGGATTGGGGGTCAAGGGGGTGTGGAGGGCAGGGTATGGACAACACCGACTGCGTTTTTGTCACTTCCTCTTTCCACCCCAGGCTATAAGCACCCTGCTTGGGCAGAGGGGGACAGAGAGAGAGTTTTGGACAAAATGGACCCCACTGGGCCTAGAACCGTGGTCCTTGGAAAGGACTGAGGATTCCTGGGTAGAGAACAGGGAGGACAGAGAGGGATTTTCCTGCTTCACCAACCAAGCTCAAAGAACTGGCTGCACCCTGAGCAGAAATGCTGGAGGAGGAGCTGGGAGGGGCTGGGGAGCTCCGGCTAGCTTTCCCCATGAGTCCACTCACAGAGGCAGAGCCCTAAGGAAGTAAAGGATAACATTTGGTCTTTGTCAAAAAAACAAGCAAGGGGGAGGGGAACAGAGGGCGAGTGTCACACAGCTGCTGAGGTCAATCTGGTGCTGCCGCCAGGGAGACTGAGAGCAACAGGCCCAGCTTCTGGGGGCTCTCCCATCTCCAGAACTCACTGACTGCATAGTGGGCAAGTTCGTTTACCTAGCAACCCAAGCCAAGCCAGGAAGGTTCAACCGGTTCTCCCCAGAACAGTAAGAGAAAGAAAAGAGTAAGTGCCCGCTGAGTGTCTGCAGGTGAGCAGGTGCTTGGGGAGAAATGCACTCCCTTGGGCAGTGGCATCAGAAGGGCATCCTCTCATCTAGCTCCAAGTCCAGAGCTAGGACGACTTGAAGACGAGAGGGGGAGGCCTCCTCATACCCTGGGCTTGGCTGGGGTGGCTTCGAGAATGTAGTCCTCCCCCTCCCTCCTCTTCCCTGCAGCTGCCAGCCCAAGGTCATAGGCTTCCTCTTGAGCAGCTGGGCCACACTGGGACTCATCGGTCAGAGAAGAGCCCCCACCACCTCCTATCAACAGATACCAGGGTGGAGAGAATATTATTATTATTATTAGATGGAGCCTACGGATGGGGGAGTGGAAGGACAGTGTCTAGCTTCCCAACACTCTCAGCTGGGAGATAAGATTTCCTTCTTTCCAGCAATGGCTTCAAGCCCCTCCCTCCAAGAAAAGCAGAGACTGAAGAGAGAATTCTAGGGTCCCTATGAGATCACAGGCTCCACAGTGACTTCACACACTCAGGGAGGAGGTGCAGCCTCACAGACAGGGGCTCAAGGATAATAGGAAGGCGAGCTCACGGAGAAGAGACGAGACAGGTAGGTAGGTGATTTGCTTCTTTCTCATAGGCTGGCAGGGTGAGGAGTGGAGAGAGCCAGTGACCTTAGGGGGCGGGACTAGAAGGAAAGTAAGCAGAAACCTCAAGTGCTTAGGGGCAAGTTCATGGGAAGGGGGCACCCGGGGATGCCCAGATCTGAGCGGAACAGGAGTTGGAGACGGAAGAGGAGGAAAGAAACCAAGTGGCTGGAGGAGCTCATTGGGGTTGCTTTACGGAAAGAGACGAGCTGAGGTTGAAGAGGCCATGCAAATGAACCAACCAGGTGAGGGGCGGGGCCAGTCTACAGGTGCGCTGATATGCAAATAAAGAGAAACAGGGTCTCTCCACAACGCTCAGCCAGGGAGTCTGGGCGTTCTGTGCAATGAGTACATTCTTTGTCTAGCAGTTCCTAGAGCAGGGACCGGGTGGTACAGGCTTATGCAAATAAGGGTCAAGAACCGCGATAGCCAGGTAGAAGGGAAGGGCCACAGACGCCAGGGCTGAAAGCGCAACAAGCAAAAGGGGCGGGACTACATAAATGACGTCTCGCCCCGGCTGGCGGCCGGGGGGCACTCACCAGCCTGGGTGATGTCTGACAGGTCGTAGCTGCGGGCCGCGCCCCGGGGAAACTGCTTCAAGCGCCGGTTGGACAGGTTCAGGGTCCCGGTGGCCACGGCCTCCTCTAGGGCCCGCTCTGCACTGCGGCTCCCGGGCAGTCCCGGAGACCCTGGAACGGAGGTTGTGGCCGCCGCCTCCTCACCCCCGGCGGCAAGTGTGGCCGTTACCACCGCCGCCGCCATCCGCTCCCGGCGGCTTCCGCTGCCCAACTGAAGGGACCGGCAGTCCCTCCTTGTCCCCTCCCCCTCCTCAGAGCCTCCGTAGTCACTTCGAGGGGGAGGAAGCGGAGCTCAGGGACCCAGCGGACCAATCGTGGTCTGGAGACGCGTCAGGAGAGGCGAATCAGAACCTGCCGGGGTTGGGGGTGTGGTATGTGGCAACTCCAGCGCCGCGAGGGAAGGGGAGGGGAAAGAGAATGGAGCGCTCGTCAACCGCCGACGCTCCAGGCTGACCCGCCCCGCGCAGCCGCATCCAATACAATGCTTAGATTCCGAGATGGAGCCAATCAGATCCAACCAGGAGGCGTGAACGCCGACTCTCAACTAGAAGGCGGAGACGCAAGAGTCCACCGGCGGGTGAGCTTAGTCCCCGTCCCACGAAAACCAATCGCAAGCCAGATACAGGCGAATGACTGTCAAGCAGGCCAATTAAATCTTCCGGAGGGTCCCGGCCTCTGCTCTGAGAGACGGCTCTACTTACCAATAGCATGGGCGAGAAGGCGGTCCCTTCGCTCAGAAGGAGGCGGGTGAGCTAGAACTTTGAGACTGAGGTAAAGAATGTAAGCGCGGCGTGCTTGGGCCGGGTGGGAGTGGTGCAGAGGCTGGGGTGGGTGTGCAAGCCGAGCATGTTAGGGAGTGAGGCAGCGTGGAGGCCGTAAGAGAGACCGAGGGGGCAAGGCGAGCGGCCGAGGCCAGTGCCCGTGGGAGTTGCTGGAGCCGAAAGCATCGCGGAAGACCATTTCTTGTTCCGGACACAGAGGCCTGCGAGGGTCTGGGACTGCCAGGCGAGGAGGCTTCCCAAAGACTCAGGATACCCAGCTCGTGGAGGGAGGATGTAGGTGGAAGGTTAGGGGAGACAGGGAAAGCCTCAGATGTCTGGGCAAGCCCGGCCGGCGGAGGGCAGGCTTCCGCCTCGCCTGCCAACCTAACCAGAGGCGCGCCTCCGCGTCTGGCCGGCTCCTGGTCAGGAATTGTGGGGACAAGACCTGGGAATGTTAGAGCCTAGGAAGGACTCATCATCTAGAAGAAGGACGTCGTGTTGCAAGTGAGGAAACTGAGATGAAAGGAAGTTGATGAGTTAGCAAGAGAAGCCAGGTCACTTAATTCCTTGACACCGGGCCCTTGCCTAGCCCATCAGCTTTGACAATGGACGTTTTCTGTTCGCACCCCCTTGTTTGCTTTATGAGGTGAAACGGAAGGGATAGAGGGCACGCAAATACAAGAGGAATCTGAAAATAGTTTTTCCGCCTCTTAGAGTTCTTCTTATCATCCCCTTTAGGGGGACAAGTACCTAATCTGTTCCGTGTAATATGTTAATAGTTGCCTACCCACAAATAAGTTTCTGCCTCATAAATCCTAATATTGCTTAAAATATATATTCAGTTATTAAATTCCATTCTAGATATGCTAACCTAGTTGTTTATTGTCATAAGTAATAGCGTTTGTCCGGCTAGTTGACAGCAAATCAACTCTCTGTAACACTGTGCAGCTGAGGGCTGATTGTCCAACAGATTGGATTCCCTGGAAAAGCCAGAAATTCTTGGATTTATCAGCATAGATCTTCTGCTCCTACCTTTGCAGACGCAGCCTTCATTCATTTCTTCTCATATGTTTCATTCTCCCATAAGACTAAGTTAGGAGCTCTGGTAGCCTAGTGCCTAAGGCACTTGACTGCTAACCACAAGGCTGGCGGTTCACACCCACCAGCCACTCCTCGGAAGGAAGATGGGGCAATCTACTTCCGTAGTGATACCGCCTGGGAAACCCAAGGAGGGGTCGCTATGAGTCGGGGCCGACTCGACAGCACATAACAACAACACTAGACTGAGTTGGTAGCTTATAGTCTGGGAAATACCCTAAGTTTTCAGAGGAAGAAGTAAATCTGTCCTTCCCACCTTAACAGGTTGCCTTTCATACATGCAATGATGTTACTGTCCCAGGAGAGCTCCTGCTTTTGGATGTGTTTTTCAGAGTCAAAGGAGCACTGGTGGCACTGTGGTTAAAGCATTGGACAGCTAACCAAGAGGTTGGCAGTTCAAACCCAAAAGCCACTCTGGGGGAGAAAGATGAGGCAATCTGTTTCTGTAAAGATTGACAGCCTTGGAAACCCTATGGGCTGTTCTACTCTGTCCTCTAGGGTCACTATGAGTTGGAATCAACTTGATAGCAGTGGGTTTGGTTATGGTTTGGTAAGGAGTTTGTGCTCAAGTGTCCCCTTCTTATCTGGTACACACTTTTATGAGATAGGCAGTCATTAGCAGGGCCACCTTTCCTCCTTACCTACAAAACTGAGTGCACTTTGTTGTTGTTGATACTGTTTTAGTTTATCCTCTTGAGCTGCAAATTTCCTGGAGGCCCTGGCCTGTTGATATTTGAAGAATTCACCAGTTTTTTTACAGAGTTAGTGCTAAAGGCCCTCAAATGGAAAAACTCCACTACTCTAAGAAAAGGCCTTGTCTACAGTAGTTCACGCTTTATTTCTTCTGTAAAATGCATGCCATACCCATGAGCCTTTGGGATGCTAGAGCTAAGCTAGAACCCAGGAACTGTCTGTGAGATACAATCCCAGGCAAGGCTGGGGAAAATAGGTCACAGTGGCTGAACAGTGAGGTCACAGAGAGATTTGTTTGCCCCAGACTCCAGGGGGGGAGGAGTCAAGGAGGCAGAGGACCCCAGAGGTCCTCTAAGTCCAGGCAGGGGACATGGTGTGGGAAAGGCAACAGGGACGGGAGCCAGGGAGCTAAGCACAGGGGCCCAAGGGGCTCAGAGAGATGAAGACAGGACCACAGAAGGGGTAGTCAGGATGGTTAGGAGAAGCAGGAGACGGAAGGTGCAAAAATTCCCCTGGCTGTGTGGACAAGGACAGGAGGAGGGGCTCAGGGTGAGGGGGACAGGCAGGGGAAGGGCAAGGAGATAGCAGTAGGTGATCACAGGGCGAAGTTGGAACAAGACCGCTAGGGAAGGGTGACTGGTAGACCTGGAGAGAGAGATGGGATGACTTGGCACCACAGAGCTGGCAGTCGGAGCTGTGGGCCCTACGACAGGAATTAGCAAAAGACAAGCTGAGACAGGGAAAGACAGGCAGGACCCTCATGGAACTCCTCCTTCTCCATGGGTAGGTGAAGCGGAGCTGCCCTTCATGTGGCCCAGAGCCTAGGGGAGAAGAGAAGAAGGGGAGAGGGAACCCTGTTTCTGTTGAGTTGTTCCCCCCAGAGCTGGTGAGTCTGTGTGGGGAAGTATTGAGAATAAGAGACTGGAGACCACACCACCAAGGAGGCCCTAGTGACCCCTGCTTCCTCCCTTCTGCCCACCAGGTGGAGCATATCACCTCCTTCCTCACAGTCAGAGACATAGTCACCCTAGGCCAGACCTGCCGCTACTTCCACGAAGTGTGCGATGCTGAGGGCGTGTGGAGGCGCATCTGTCGCAGGCTCAGTCCTCGCCTACGAGAGCAGGGTTCTGGGCTCCGGCCCTGGAAGAGAGCTGCTATTCTTAACTGTACACCTTCCCCAGACCCTCCAGTTCTCCTTGCCTCTGTCCTACCTTACCCACTCGGCCAACCCTCCCGGGCCCTTTTCTCAAGAAGAAATTTGTTAGACTTAAACATACCTCCAAGTTTCTAGAACCACCCTCTGATAGATGCCCCACCCAGAGTCCCCATTACTAGTGTGCCTACCAAGTATCCCTCCAAATAGAAGTCGTCTTCTAAATGTTACCCGAGAGACAGCCTCTACCCACAAAACCTGGAGTTCTTCCCCCTCTAAGCCGGAGGTTTTCAGCCTTTTCACTGTTGACATTTTGGGCCAAATAATTCTCCATGAGGGGTGGGAGAGGCTATCTATGCATTATAGAATGTTTAGCAACATTTCTGGCCTCTACCCACTAGACACCAATAGTATCTCCTTCAGTTGTGACACCAAATGTCCCCTGAAGGTCAGAATCACCCTCAAGTTGAAAACCATGCTTCTTCTAGCCCTCCCAGGGAGCTCCTATCCATAGCCATTCACTTGGCTCACATTCTGGGAGATTTGTTAAGATGGTTGGCCTCCACACAACAGATCCAGAGCTGGGAATGAAGGAGGGTTACAGGCCTTAGTCATTCCTTTTCACTCTTTCTGGGTTTTGTCTAGAGTCTTAGTCTTATGTTTCTCTTTATGTCTCTGATGAAAGATTAGACCAAAGAAGTTCTCACTTAGAAGCATGTGTGTGGCCCTGTGCTGAGGTGGGCCAGAGATCTAAAATTCAGACATGGGCTGGAATTGAGGATATATTCTAAGCCTTTCATGTCTCCGTTAGAAGGGGTCTGTTCCACAGTCCTAGGGATGGAGAGGAGCCAGACTCCAGGGTGGCTGGGAAATCTTGTTTGCCCAACCTCTAACTTATCTCCCTAGTGTCGTCCCCGCCCCTTGAACCTTCTCTCTCCTTCTCTCCTCCAGACACGAAGGGCCTGTATTTCCAGGCATTTGGGGGCCGCCGCCGCTGTCTCAGCAAGAGTGTGGCACCCCTGCTAGCCCATGGCTACTGCCGCTTCCTGCCCACCAAGGACCATATCTTCATTCTTGACTACGTAGGGACCCTCTTCTTCCTCAAAAATGCCCTGGTGTCTTCCACCCTTGGCCAGATCCAGTGGAAGCGGGCCTGCCGCTATGTCGTGTTGTGTCGAGGAGCCAAGGATGTGAGTAGCAGATCCCTGACAACTAAGAACCCACCCCTCCTCCACATCAGGGCTCACAGCAGCCCTGGGTGTTCCCCTTAGGACATCTGCTCTTCCACACTGGGAACCTGTAAACAGGTCCTCACTCCCCAGCTCTGGACTGAAGTATCTCATCTCGCCATCCAGGACCCAGTAAAAGGGTCCTGCCTTTCTTTCCCTTGTCTCAGCTTGTCTTTTACTAATTCCTGTCTGTGGCCTCATCCCCTCCAAGGCCCTACATCCCAGGCACCCTTATCTTTTCCCACAGTTT